AATCAACACCAAATCTCATGCAAATAGCTTCGAACACTGACATCTGTCATTTCCTCACAACTAGTTCGATTATATCCTTAATCCAAAACAAAAATCCTTGGATGACCCACTTTTGTTGAAGATTCGCATCCAAGGCAAAATACATGAAACATAGACCATAAAATACTAATATACATGCTTAATTATTAGAAATTGTAGAGATTAACGCAATCTTAGACAATGGAATATCAAGTAAAAAAACAAACCTAGATGGACGACATTCTTATCGTTATCTGTGAAAACTTTGATGAACTCAACAATAATTTTAGGTTGATCACTATATATTATTATTGAAATTAAATTAATGATTGCGATGTATCGATACTTCATTCCTATACTACTCACAACTTGGACAAACCAAGTTTATACTCGTGATTCTCAAATAAACCTAAATTGTAAATTATAATATGTTACTAACTATAGTATCCATCTAAATTTTTAAGGGTTTTTGGTACAATTGTATGATAATTTTAGCTTTAAAAAAATCTATAAATTAACCTATTTTTTCTCCCATATTGATTAGCTCTAAAGGATAGAAGGATATGGCATGACATTTTCAAAATTTACCTCAATATCACTATTCTCTCTCTATATATATATATAATTTCTTTGATTTTTTTAATAGTTTTTCTTCAAATTTGTTTGAATAAAAAATAAAACTGAACAAACACTAGCTAAAGTGCTTGAAGTGTGCACAAAAGCGGGGGAAAAAGATACTTCTAATATATGTAGTTCCCTAAATCTAAATAGAAATAAATATTAATTATTTTCAAAATATTAACGAGAAAATTAAATAATACATATCGTTACTTGTCTTAATTACTTAAAAAAAATATTAAGGGATAAGAATGGTAAAATGAATTAATTTTTAATTCAATCCACTTTCAATCTGGCAGGGAAGAAGTAATTCATTGTACTTATAAATGGGTTGACCCATTCTAAGATGTTGGTAGGTCATAAGATGGAAGGCTAGTCGGTTGAAAAAAGAACCATCTAGCTTATTATTCTAAGCATACATAGTTATTGGTGTTTTTGTTTTAAAAAATTCAAACAATTTTCATGATAAAGTATTATCCGCTTTAATATTTGATTTATTGTTATAATTTTGTTTTGGAGTAGCGCTTCAATGAGTTAAGAGACAAAATATTTATAAAGCATTCTTAACTTCAATTTTTAAGCTTTTCTTTTAGAAGTTTCGATTCCTAATGAGACTTTTTAATATATTGAAATAAATAAATTTTTTCTATATAAGAACTTTTAAAAGTAATATAATGAGAAAATAAAATAAATTTTTGGGTAAATTATATTTTTTGGACTTATATCTTATTTTTTAGATTTATTTCTATCCTTTATCTATTCACTACATCAAAATTTATTATTAGCAATAATGATTTAATGACAACAAATTAATTGTCTCTAATTATCTAATAAAAATATTAATGGCTAATAAATAATAGTCATTAAAAATATTTTTATAAAAATAGTTATTGAAAATGGTTAGTAAAAAAATAAAGATAACTTTTAATTCATTTCAATAAGAAAATCCAAGTCTCATATTGATAATAGATAAAACAATTAAAGATTATGTAAGTAGAGAACAATCTTCACCTTACAAATTAGTTTTGTAGGGTTGAATTAGGTATATAACTCACTATTTTAAAATGGTATAAGAATTATCTTATATTCACTCTAAAAAAGGTCATTCATCATTGACACATGCACCAAATTCATGCAATAGTATTGAACGTAAGAAAGTGTATTAAAAAAAATCCAATTCTCACCTATCCCAGATCATTAAAAGGATTACCCATCATTTATTCACGTACAAAATTCAATAGTGTTCGATGTAAAAGGGTACATTGAAAAAAATTCAAGTCTCACATATCAATAAGACAATTAAAAAGTATACAAGTGGAGAGTATAAAAGCTAGGAATCCTTTTTAAAATTTTAGAGGTAATAGTAAAAAGTTAGTAAATAGGTTAAACATTTTAAAAACCAATATTAGTGGCTATTATAAAAGTTAGTAAAAAATATCACAAAAACTCATACATTTTTTCAATCTTTATAAGGGTCTTTACCAACATGTAGAATAATTGTTGATAAATGTTTTATCGACACACTAATGGAAAATAAGTCTTTTACGTCACCTCTTTCTCATCAGACATAACAAAAATCGACGTAAAAAAGATGTGGTGGCATTTTTTAAATTTTGTGAACTTTTTTACATCGGACCTGGTAGGGTCCAACGTAAAATGTAAACTCTACGTCGGACACAACATACAACCGACGTAAGTTTTACATTTTACGTCGGACCCTACCAAGTTTGACGTAAAAAAAAAGTAGCGAAAGCGATAAGAAGAGTGCATGAGAGGCACACGCACGCACACACTCACTCGGATCTCATCACTTTTCTAGATTCTTCTCTGTATAAACCCTCTCCCTCTCCTTTGTTGATGATTTTTTTTTTGTCTTCTGTAGTATGGGGTAAACTCTTTGTTACTCGTTCACACACTGTTGCAGCTCAAGTATGAATCAAGGTTTCGCTAGCACCTTTTTGCTTCGCATTGCTATTATGGTTATTTGTTCTATTCGATCTTTTGGTTGTTCTATTTGTTTGGGTTGTTAGCCTTTTCTTCTGGGTTGTTCTATCAAGCAGAACGACCTGTTCTCCAAGCAGAACAGGCTGTTCTGCTTGCACTTCTTATGTTTTTTTTTGTTTACAACTTTTTTACGTCGGATCTCCGCGTTAATGTCAGACTTTTTTCTAACGTAAAAAGTTTAAAATAACAGACGTAAATTACCTCTTTTGTACTAATGACACAACATGCAATAACTAATGTGAAAATGTTAGTAAAATATTTTATAATCATTTTTATTGTCAATAAAAACAATATCGAATGCCACTAAAAGTCTTTTATGTTATAGTGATGATTAAAATGTTCAATTTAATCCTTTTTTTATATTTAGATCAATTTGGTCATTTTAAAGTAATGATCATTTTTAATTTTGCAACACAATGTTAAATCAATTTTTGATTGATTCAAGCCATAAAATTTGTAACATTAGATTGACCCATATAAATTTTTTGAAAAATAATCTACATTTGAATTTAAAAGAATTTTAAGTAAAAATTATATGAAAAATATATCTTATGAACAAATAAAAAATATATGAAACTAGACCTTTTAAAATTTTTAATTTTTACCATATATATTACACTTTTAATTCAAACTTTAATTGCATTTAATGATATAATGTGACGAATTTAAAATCATGAATCAATAAAAAAAAATTAAAATAATTATATTGACTCAAATTTAAAAAATAAATGACCAAAATAAATATTTAAAAATTAAAAATTAACAAATTTAAAAAATAAGATAAAGAACTAAAAGCATAAACTAATAACAGTTTCTCTATAAATTAAAAACAATTTTTTTAAAAGAAGTTAATATGATAAAGTTTTTACAAATCAACTTATATTTAAATTAATCTTAATTTTTAAAATAATTACCTTCTTTATTTTTCTACAGAAATATTTATAAAAAAGTTTGTTTAAACACATCCCAAATCATTGTGATAATTAAACCATATCTTATAATTATAAAAACATGAACTTAATTAGAGTGTAACGACCATATAAAGGTTTTTACACTATAGTCTAATTATGATTTGTCAAAAAATTTATTAATTAAATTGTAAAATAATTAGTTTAAAAATCACATTTAAAATAATTTATAATTAATCAAAAGTGTAAAAGCATTTATATATATAGCATCATCCATATGAAAGTGTGTACAAAGAATAATCACCGTATATCATTACTCATCACATATATAGATACTATATATATCCTTCACAAATTATTCTATTTGAGGCATATATTGTAAAAGAAAGGCAGAAAGAGGCATTTGTACATAAAGTATCAAAGTTCACCATCATCAATATATTACGAAAACTCTCTATCAAAATGTGCGATCTAGATAAGGATACCTGCACCCACTCCTCCCTCATTATTCATCAAGACGAACAACACTCGAATTATATTTTAGGGTTTAGGATTCTATATTTCTATTCTTATCATGCAGGCTGCTCTTAATAATTGTCCACACACAAATATAATTTTTTTCCATTATTTCCTTACTACTTAATTAAATTGAAAATGAAAACTAAAAATATGTTAAAAAATAAAAACTGGCATAGGTCAAGAGTGCATACCACACCCATATTCTTTATAAGAGTTTATATATATA